GTTAAAGTTCAGTCCCTCACATTGTGGAGCCATGTTGCATTAGACACAACCCAGGCCAAAACTGAAGCTGTAATGTAATTTTTTAACCTTGTTCATACAGTTATTAATCAAGAGACATTAAAAGGGCTCATGTTTGTTGCATTGAGGTTGTACTTTAGGGCCTGTATTGTTAAGGTAGTAACCTGTAGTAGTAACAAAGAATTAATTAAAAATAACAAATCAAAAAAAGCATTTCAACATATAACTAACAGGCCTGTGATTATTGGAGGAACGTACAATTTTGAACGATATAACATTTTAGTGATACTCAACAAAGGTGCACTCAGTTTTGTTGTATTTAACAACAGATTTCTTAAAAGAAGTGTTGATCGTGCTGATGTTTTTCATAGTTCCTAACACTCAGGGTCCCGACTTCGCCTTAAATGTTGATGTTACCTCACCAGAAACAAAGCAATAATGACGTCATGGTGGACTAGATGTATGGTCATGCTACTAAGATGATGCAATGTGATATGTCACTTCTCAGTAGTTTTGTCCCTTTTGTGTGACTTACAAGTAAGAAGGAATGCCTGGTCCTGCATTCAGCCACTGTTTGTGGATCAGCTCCTCTATTCTGTTCTACCAGAGCTGCAATGATGTCTAACATCTGCAAACCCAGCCTCTCCACAAGTTCCTTTCTCAAGTGAACCACTGGAAGGCTTTTGTTGTGAAGGAGCTGCAGGAGGTGGTAGACTTATATTATGCTTGGAAGCTAAACACTCTTGAAACATGAGTGGTGTTTGCATTAATATACATTTTACACAAATGAAGCACAAATTATTCTCAACGAAAGTGAAAGCTGTCTAACAGAGAGCAAACTGCTGTAGGGCAGGAACATTTTTTTAAATAATATGAATTTCAAATTAGGGGGTTAGACCTGCTTTCACTCTTAGGACTGATTATCTCTTTGGAAAAAACTACAGCCATTTAAAGAAAGCTGGGTTTGGAGGGAACCTGGTGGTCTGTGACATGTCAGCTGTGTTGTAGTGGAGGTGAAATCATTTGCTATGTAGTCAGAAATAATGTGAAGTAATTATCAGGTACTTGCATGGGGGTGTTTTTTCACAATTAAAAACTAGTGGATAATTGTTACATTATGATACCAGAGGGCTGCTCGGAGAGCTCATACCTCAGCCAGGGCTAACGGGCTATCTTGCCATGTTAAAGAAGTGAAACAAAATCCTGGATCCACCCATTTATCTGGATCCACTCCAAAATTGAATAGGTTTTTCCAAGAGGGCCATGCACCACCCCTCCACACAAATTCATGGAAATGGGTTTAGTTGTTTTTGAGCAATCCTGCTAACAAAAAAACAAACACTGACATAACCTCCTTGGCAGAGGTTATAACGTTACACATACTGGCATCATTAAATGTGCACTGTGATCACTAGTTCAATATGTGTATAAGTCTGCAGAATAATTGTAAATAATAACACTCAAAACTGGCTCCTTTTTTGCCGGTCACCACACCGAGCTCAGTTCCTGCACAATCTGTATATGAATGTAAACTGCCATGAAAATGTAATAATAATATTATGAAAAAAGCAAGGAAGCAGTGACATTAACTACAAAATGCGTTGAGGAGTAAGGAATATAAATTTGTGTTAGTTATTTAGATTTAGATTATTCATTGTGGACTTTGTGTATTTGGGGATCCGTCTTATATTCTAAAGATATTTTGGTTCGTATACAAAATTATTTTTTGGGAATTGTTTAAGGTATTATATATTTACAGATTGCAATTGTACACATTGATTGACAGTCTGTTCCAACAAATAATACTGACAAATCTATGCACAAATTATAGCTGGAAAAGAAAGTGTCACTATGTTACAGAGATTCTGGTTTTCTAAACGGGATTTCCCTGCATTTCTGCACAGCTATTTTAGTTGCTTAGTATCTGACATACTTGCCAATATTAATATATCTGAGCTAATACTGGCAGATGAAATCAGTTGCTCAGTGTATCAGTTTGACTCTCATGGTAAGTCCAATACTCAATATTCTTTAGGTTTGGATTTGCACCAACTCCTGTTTGGCCAGCTAACAAGAGCCAGCTCTTAAGATACAACATGTTAGATGCTAACTGCGGAATGGGTAGATCACAGCGTGTTTGCTTTTGTAAAAAAAGATCGATGAGAGCCGTGAGACTGAACTCTGCAGTAAACTGGGGGCCATGAAATATAAAAAGCTGAGGCAATCTGCAGAGTAGGAGAATAACCCTCTGTCCTTACAAGTGACCTTTTTCACAATAAACACATTCATTTAATGCTATATTGGTATTTTAAAAATGCAGTTTTAGAAACCCAACCAGACCATAACGGCCTCATGAGAACATTTGGCCTCGTTCATTCAACATGGGATAAAACAGAAATGTAGAGTAAGAAGCAGACACTGTGGTTTTTGGAGCAGTTAAGAGTTTGAACTATTTCCTGATCAACAACAGCTGGGCACAATAAATGCATGCGGCATCTAAGAACCTCCTCTGAACACAGATGTGACTCAAACGTGGACAAAGACGAATGTAAAAACAACAGATAAGTGTAGTTTCGCTGGGGGTGGGCTCCCACGTGCATCCTGCTGTGGGTCTTTGTGAAGCTGAGCTGAACACAACTCTGTGCCGATGCAGAGAAACTGTGCCGACTATGTGACTGCAAATAAACATGTTTCTTTTCTTTGCATTAATTCAATATGACATTGTTACTACTACATGCCTGCGCTGTTCCTATTGTTACTACTATTACTAGTATTATCACGTTTCAACTAGTGTAATCATATTCCCACACCACATGTACTACTGTAGTTTTAGTTTGACAATGTAATTACTTCCTCTTGCCTCACAAATGTGCACGTCAGATAACAGCACACAATAATATGCATCGCCTTGCCACCCCCGAGGTAAACACTGTATCTGGTCCTCATCACAAACAGACTATTTAGGTGTGTGAGGATGGCTCAGCTGAGAGATCCCCTGTGGGTCCTGGTTCACTGCTTTTCATTTTGTGCACGCTGCCACTCGGCCACATCACCTGGTGACAGCACGAATCATATAATTATGGTGGTGACACACAGGACAAATACTACACATCGCATAAATGTACCTCAGAGACGATCCACACCATATAATGCTGGCACATTAAACTGTAATTCCCATGTTTCACTCTGAACTTGCACAGCTGTTATAATATTGTTTTTCTCCCGCTCCATGTCGGGCTAAATGTGACACTGAGGCCACATAGTGGATCTAAAACATGGTGGAGGCTGATTATGGATTATGATTACAACTAGATTGCTTAGATATACAATATGACTACTCACATATGCTACTACTACTGACATTACCTCTACTATTGTAACTACTGCTCCCTTTTGTATAAATACTTTGAACATTGATAGGCTCCTCCGTGAATGTTGTAAATATTGTTATTGTGTTGACGTGCTCTGTTACATGCGACATATATTGCACTTGAGACCATCCTGGGTCAGGGGTCCCTCATCTGTGACTCTCTGAGGTTTCTACACTGTTTTTCCCTGTTAAAAGTTGTTTTTTGTAGTTCACCTCACTCTTATCGAGGCTCAAGGGCAGAGGATGTTGCACCTTGTGTGTGCCAAATGACACAGATTGAGATTTTTGAATATGGGCTCACAAATACAATTAGATCGCTTGATTGATTGAAGTCCCGCTAATCTTAACACGTGGTCCAGTGATTAGTGGAAATCATGGTTTTGAGATTTGTAGTTTGGTTGAAACTAGTGACTGAGGTCCAGCTCAGGAGCCAGAATGACAGGGGTTAGTCATAAACATGTATGCACACTAGTTATTACACAGTATGTTTGGAAGATACAGTTTCTCCTTTCTGACAAAAGACATTTACGCAGCATGGTACAACCAGGCGGATCTCCAGTGTTTCAGTGCATTACATGATGTGTTACAGACGGGTTACACAGCTCCATGCTGGCAGAGGCAGCCAGCGGAGCAGCAAGGGGTTAATGTTCAGGCGCGTAAATACTGTCCATGGCTCTGAAAGGCTTGTTCAGCCTGCGAAACACGGTTTAACAAACGACCCGCTCCCCCCCCCTGCAGACTCCCGGAGAGCGGCCGAACGGCTTGAAGCGAGCCGAGAGGAAAAGACGGGGAGCGGGGACAGAGTTGTGTAACACGGCGAGCAGCGGCAGGAGGGAACCGTGACATGATGATCACAGGGATTTGTTCAGCGTATGTTCCGCGGCGAGGACACCGATGATCCGCCGCTGTACGACACGTCTAATCACACTGAGTCCGAACCGAATCCCCCCCCCACACTCATGAACCAGCTCGCTGGGTGTCACGCATTTAGTTTATTTCCCCGCTACAGCGGAGAGAAGACATCCACCGAGGGCTATTGTCAGCCATCGCTGCTGCTGCCGCCGCCTGCTGCCAGGAGGGCTGCGCGGGGCTGAGCTGCGCTCTCTCCGGTCGTGATTTCCAGCCGCGCTCCGTCGGCGAAAGCACGGAGATCGGTTTCAATATGGCAGCATTAATGTGTAATACAGGCGTAGTGTCAGTCTGGGAGAAGCCGGGGAGACGGAGACGAACACACGGCGAGCGGAGCCGAGGCTTCCCCCCGCTGCCTCCGCTCGGTACGACGGTTCAGACCGGGGCGAAGCGGGGAGGTTGAAAACACATCGAGCGTGATCAATACACAGCCCCCCGCTGAAATATCTCCATTACCCTCCGAATTTATTGTAAAACCTTCGTTTACTTTGTGTTATTTGCGAGAAAATGTCACAACCCTGCTCGGGCTCCATGTAACTCCGCCTTCTTCTTCTCCGAGCGGCCTCTCCTCAGATGCAGACGGGCGCCTCGGAGCCACAAAGCTGTCAAACGCACCGAGCAGCTCGCCATTTTTGTTTGTTTTCCACAAATGCAAAGCGCCAGAAACACACAACACAGCACGGCGGACAAAGTGGGGCCTTACCTGCCGTGGAACCAGTCCTTGCAGGCGTCGCACTCGATCATAAACTGGGTCACGTCGTAAGGCAATCTGCAGATGCAATACACTGGTACAGTCGCCATGTTCAATTCACAGCTACGTCGGGATAGACTTGGGGGGCTGCGGGAGGAACCGCGTCCTGCAAACAATATGATCCAGTATGATCTTCCCCAGAAAAAAAAGCCAGGGGCAGTCCCGCCGGACACATGCGGCTACACGCACATCTCCATCGCGCCGCGGCCGTGTTCGCGTTCGTGCGGAGCGGAGGGAACGATGGAGCCCCGTCGTGGCGAAGCTTTCCTGAAACGCATCATTATTATTATCACTATTATTGTTGTTATTACTGTGTGCGTGCCCCCTGGTGACTGCGCGCCGCCGTCATGTCAGCGGCCGGAGCGGAGCGTCGATGTCGCTGCGAAAAGAGAAAATAAATAAATAAGGAGCGTAAGAAAGTTACGTCAGGGAGCAGGTTAATCGGCAGAGCTCAAATCAGATGAATGAACGTCCGGGGATCAATCAGCATTAGCGCTTTCATTCGAAGGCAGCGGCCGCCATCCAGCAGACCTGCTTACTGACAGGGATACAAAGGAAGACGTCACATGTGCACGGTACAACACCAGCGTTTAGTTATTACATCATCTGGGATACACGCGACCAACAATCTAATCATATTTTATCAATTAATTTGTGTAATGTTAAATTAATTAATTTGACATATTTGATCTCGGGCACGGTTTTTTCAGGTTAGATGTTGACATTTGATGATATAGATGCGTCGTTTGTAGATTCTATATTTAGATGTTAGATTATATCCATAAAAGAAATAAATGCAACATGAAGATTAACAATACATTGATTATTCTCCACCCAAATAAAGCATTGGCCGAGAGACGAAGGCTTTGAGATGTTCACCATGAGACAAATCAGAGCGAAAATAAAGCTCATTTTAAATGTTTTTATATTTTGATCACTTATAGTTGAATCGTAATGAATAATTATTATTATTTGTATTGTGCTTTTCATTTAAAAGAAAGATCTACTAAAGATAAAAACATTAATACAGTAAATATTGAAAGATATTTACAGAAGTTGAGTATTGAAAGTGATTATTAAAATTGTTAAATAAAACACGTTGATGTGATTTTAATCAATACAAGCTTACAAACGTGATCTATAGATACATCGAAATCTATAGATGAAAATAATTCCCCCAAATGGCAGCTTTTACTTAAAGGAACAAACATAATAAAGACATTGACAGTTAAAAATAGTGTGTATGAAAAGTGTATGTGAACTGAATTATTATTAAAGACCAATCACTGTATGAATGACTTAACAATAATTAATATCATAAAATAGTTTGATAATGTGCTTTATTACCATGGTTTACAGTATATATGCATATTTACTAGAAACATTATTATTAATTCTATTGTGTTTATTACTTTTACCGACAATTAATATGAAGTCTCAAAGTTGTAAACTAATTTTCCCTTGGTATCAATGTCATGTTATGTGTATTGGTTGGATGATTCATACTGTTACTTACGCACTACTACATGAGCTGTAATGGATTTGTATTAAGAATTGAAACGTTATTGGCTTCTGAAATAATGGTTTGAAAAAATAAAACCAAAAACCCAGAGCTTTCAGTTGTGTCACATGAACTCCATCAGCAGATCAAGTTTATTCAGTCATCATAAAGATGGGGCTGTTGACAAGTGATGTCAGGGATCTTTGTGATGTCATCCCTCGCTACCACGCCCCGACAGTTCAAACTCCATCAACTAAAGAAGACTGAGTCAATCAGTTGAAAGGTTCCCAACAAAATACTATTTGTGAAATGTTTTAGAAAAAAAAAAAGATTAGTGTGAAAAATACTTAACATAAGAATTCAATGTTGGCCCTGGTGTATTCTTATATCTGAAAAAGAATGCAGAGAAAAATCAGTCAGTGAGCAGGAAGAAGTGTAAAGATCCATGTGTTCCTTCTGCTACAGTATGAAGAGCAATAAAGAAATCACACAAACAACAGCTTGTACTAAAAGAATATAGTTTTATTAAGCACTGTAGCTAAGTTTCCTTCAAATACGATTTCCACGATCCAACATTCAATCAAACCCCACAGCAGTTTATTCTTTCACAATCCATGAGTTAGGAAGAAACTGTGATCAGCTCACATAGAAGGTAACCTATTTAGCTCTTGCAGAGGGACTGGGGGGGGGCGAGGGGTACAGTACACCATTTCTCTAATCACTAATGAACAATGAGAAGCTTAAGGAGAATTAAGTTGACATGTTAAATGATGATCCTGGTGTAGAGGTGGTGTGAGGGTAAAAACAACACTAAAGTCAATTACTGGCTGATGGCTGAAGTTTTCATTAGAAGGTTGAGGACGTTGCTTTGAGCTACAAAAGGGTTGATTTTGATCCAAGCAATGAATTCATATTTTCTTAGTTATTTGACTAATGCAGAACAGCAACAGAGAACAATACAGTATGAATACACTAGTTCAAAGTAGCTACATAACATATTGTTTTTTTTTTTTTTAACTAAATGCAACAGAGGTCAATATCAAAGGGAAAAAAACAAGGTCAGAAAAAATGTGTTACTAACAGTTAACATCGTTTATGGGATACCAGTGGTATTAGTTGTTTCTTCAATTTCCAAATGGGCACGGTGCTTGTAAAGATGGAAGAAAAAGGACGACATGCATAATAACTACACACCTCTTTGAAGTGTGACCCATGCAGAAGGTTTGTGTTGAAGCGGTGCTGCTACAGCTCCACGTGTGAGGACATCTGTCAGGGTGTGACCAGATCTTTTGCTTCTGAATTTTGAGCCGGTTGTGGAAACGCTGCAGCTGAGTGACAGAAACTGCACAGAGCCGCTGCTTCGGTGTGAATCAAACCCAAAAGTGGTTGACCAAAGGTGGACATGTTGCATTTTGCTTTTCTGTTTCTATGTGTAGTTTTCAACGTGCAGTTATCATGACAACACAAAATTGATTAACCCGTACTGTCACGAGTACATGGTGCCAAGTACTGGAAGATTATCAACCTATAAGAACTAAAATATTCCCAAATCAAAGCTTCTTAAAGCTTTTAGTATTCTAAAGAAAAGAAAAAGTGTAATTCTCATTAATATGTAGAAACGATGGTGACGCTGGGATGTCACCAGGGACTCCACCTCGCAGTGTGTCGTATATTGAGTGTTTACTGAGAGGGATCTGAAATTCATCTCTGTTCTTTGAGAAGAAACATGTACATTTGACTGTAGGCTTTTCAAATTCTCAGGTATTCCTAACGCTGCTCCATCTTTCATCCATCACCCTCTCTAGAAAAATAGGCTTACACTTCTCTTTTTGAGACGGCGGCCTCTAGACCCTCCTCTCTATGGCAGCCTCCATCTACATTTAGTGCATTTAAGTGAGGATTAGTATTGCACGTCTTGGAGTCATTGCTAAAGGCACTTTCGACGATGAGAGCCCTGCATTCCTCTTTATCTCCATTCAGCTGCTCCTCTTTGTCTGTACCGTTCTCCGTGGCTGAGCCGTCGCACGGTGCAGGGGAGGATGCCTTCTCCTCCGGCTTGGGATCCTTCTTCTCCTTCACTTCATCGTGTCCGGATGTATGAGGCGGCTTATAAGCAGACTTATTCTGGTACAGACGTCAGACAATAAAGGATGTTTAAAAAATGATGCAGTTACACAGCAGCAGTGACTGTGAAGGATCATGTTAGACACAGAACAAAACCACAGACGTGGGCTGACAGCTCTGGTTAAACACAGAAAGACTGGAGAGTAAGAAGTAGAAGTCAATTAACAGTAAAATAAAGGGGGGTTGTACAGCACAAAGACCTGCTGAGAGGCTGTTTAGTTCCCACACATCACATGCTGAAAGCCCACACAATGGTTGTGTACTTTGTTGTTGCACTGTAATCAAACTGTGAAAAGCCAAACAGTGTTTTGATCTTTGTGAAGCACATATGGTGAAGCTTAACAACTGAAAGGATTACCCTTCATGACTGAAAAACACATAGTAGAGGCTGTTCCTCCAGGTTTTAGTAATATTTATTTGACCCGCCGGATGGTGCCCCAGCCCATAACTGTAGCTGCTTTCAGACATGCACTGAACTCCAGATATCCTCCTGAAATTATCTGGATGGACTGTATGTGAGAACGCAAATGTGCAAGTCAGAGGCTCTCCATAGTATTTCCTGCCAGCCACCAAGTGAAAACTCCAGATAATGTCTGAATGAGCCCATGTGAGAGAACAGCAGTAGATCCTCCTCAGGGGAGCGGGTGTGAAGATGATGTTTCTAACACAAGACGGACACAAAATAGAAGAAAACTAAAACAATAAGGATGAATCAGGATGAGACAGACTAATAGAGGTGTCATGCCGACTTGGAAATACGAGATTAAAGAGTTTTTGGTGATTAGGGCTGATGCTGGTGTAGATGTGGTGTAAACAAAACACAGGATCTCAGTGGCCTAATTTAGACATAACATCGTGACTCTGCATCACCCCTCACCTGAGCTCTCCAGAGATTTCTGTGCTATGCATGTGTCTGAGCGTGTTGTTCATGACTGAAAGACAAACCGCGGAGAGGTCCGGATTGTTTCAGCATCGTAATTGTTTCCCACCAAGGCAGCAGAGTCTGGATGTGTCTGCCCTTCAGAATAATTTGGTCCAGACACATTGTTCCAGACTACTGGTGAGACTACAGCATAAGATTTCCTCCACAAAGCCCAAACTCAGATACCCATGAACTTTGCATTGGATATTCAGTCTGTAGAGCCTAATGTTTTATTTTTACTGACCCACATTAAAATGAACTTCAAAAATTGGAAACACATTCCTTCTTGCAGAAGATGGTTCCTTTCTTTTGCGGACGCTGCGATTAGCATTTCAAACAAACACTGAAGCATAAGTACACCACTTACAGCAGCACCTGACTAACATGTTACAAATGTCTTGAATTGTCGTAGAAGCCACTTTCCCACATGTATTCTGTATCATGTCTACTTTGATCTGGGATGGTTGTACAGCAGAAAGAGCTGCAACGCTTAATTGACATTTGGTCCCTGGTGCATAACAGGGAATAGTGGTACTGCTAAATAACAGGGGCTAAATAAATGACATGTGACATTTAAAAATCCTGAGTGAGAGTATGGGATGCTTGATTCCTGCCTCAAGGTGAATCCCCTCTTACAGTGGATCAGTTTTAATTCAGTCGTCCATGCCGTCTATATTTAGCATTTTGACGGGCATTGATATTTATTTCCACCAGGAGCTTATGTTTTTGCCCACTGTTTTGTGTTTGGTTGGTTTGTTGATAGTAGGATTATGCAAAAACTACTAAATGGATTCCCCTGGGAAATCAGGACATGGGCAGAGAAAGAACCAATTCAATTTTGGCGTGATCCAGACAAGGGGGCAGATGCAGGATTTTATTCACTTTCTTTAAAATTTCAAAAAGGACATTTGACATTTTTAACAATTTCCAACAGAACTATATATAAAAGAATTGGTATATTTAGAATCAATGTGTGCAATAAGTTGAAGCTTCCTTGGCAGAGGTATGAGCTCTACTGAATAACATTCTAGTTCATCCATTCAGTTATGATGAATAAAAACAGAAAATGTGACAAAGTAATGCCAGTCAGATGATGACTGTGGTTGTGTGGAGTTTCTTTCTTTAATAATCACCTCTATCGAATGATCATGAACAGAGGAGATTCACATTTAACTATTTAAAATTCATTCGACAATGTATTTTCTTAATGTGTCGAGAGAAAATAATGAAGTGATACATTTCCAGGCGTAAAACGAGACTGTGTGTGTGTTCAACTTGTGTTCTGTTGCAGCCTTTACATTAGTGTGACATCAATCAAGACTTGTGCTGTGTAAGGACTGATGTGCAATTGTTACTCAGTGGGACCTTGCAGATTAAGTTTGTGACTTTTATGTAAAATTGACTTGTGCACTTATTGAGACCTTACACCAACATGTTCAATGTCCATAGATGTAGTTAAATCTAATTAAATGTCTAAATGGTGCTTCATTGAGAATCTACAACCAATGCTGCTATTGCTTAATGTGTCTGGCTATAAACACTTTGCAAACATGACATGGCACTAAGAAAAAGTGGCATTATAATGCATTTAATCACAAGCTGCCACACAACATGCCACCAAAGGAACCAAAGGTCAACAACACATCTCACCTCAATTTCACACTTTAAAATTAGTATTTTCACTTCTGTACTTTTACCCTCATAGTTTGAATGTCAAGGTAATGCCATTTACTCTCACACTGATATCAGAGGAAGACTTCAATAGAGCTCGTCTGTCATTTTATTGTTCAAATGACAGTTCAAATCTGTTCAATTTGCACTGCTCAGTTTTGCACAATCCTCAGCTTATTCACCTCATTCACCTTGTTTCTGCCTTATTTTTAACATGTTCCTATCCTAATTGTATTTTATGTAACTATTGTATTTTTATGTACATTTTGGTCGGTATTCCAGAAAGGACAGCACAAGAATTTCCATTCATAGGGAAACGTGTGTTCTCTGTGTATTTGACAATAAAAATCTTTGAATCTTTGAATCTTGAATCTTACTGTTATATAAAGTCTCACTTTGAGCTTCCTTGTTGAGCTACAGTGAAAGAACTGGTGAACAGTGGTGACACACATGTCGACAACACTGTCGAAGATATCAAGAGCGTTTGTGGTGATAAGAGCTGACGCCGGTGTCGGGGTGCTGTAAACAAAATCACGTGATCGCAGCAGTGGAGTTAAAAGTCCCGTCCTGCACCCGACTGCTCCACCTCTCGCCTGAATAATGCTGAGGATCACTGTTGTGAGCTATGCAGAGAACCTCCCGCTGTGTCTCGCATGTGTGAAAGGCAGACTCTGGGTAAACTCTGCAGCCAATTCTCCGGATTTTACCCGGAGGTCATGACATCGAAAGGGCTCTGCTGTGTTCAGACATAAGCTCATTCAGAGATTCTCTGGAGTTTGTACCAGGGGGCCAGCCAGAGACCCTGGAGAAAGTCTCTAACCCGGACATTTGTATTCTCACACACAGCCCCTCCAGAGAATATCCAGAGATTATGCGGAGGTCAGAAAGCAGCTTTACTCTTCTGTGTGTGTGAAGAATGATACATCACTGACTTACCAGGTACACTCCATGACTCTGTAAGGCTTGAGTGTGGTACCTGCCTCCTCGACCAAATGCCCTTATAACAGGTGTAGAAATCACACCTCGCAGACGACTACAAAAGAATCAACATAGTTTACAATGAATTATAATTGGTGCAACTGATAATAAAAATACATGAGGCACATTAACTCCCTTCTGCTCTTACCCTCTGTTTGCTCCCCCCACAGACACCACCTGGATAGGGAAGCCTCCCCTTCCTCTGTTGCGTCGACTTCCGGCCCATTGACCCACAACGGTGCCAGCGATCTCCAGCTTCCCACCCTGAGACGAGATTCCTTGAAGGCCTAATTAGAAAAGGAAAAGCAAGTAGTGTTAGTCAGTGCATGTGTCTCTCATCAGAGTTGCTTGAGGAAACAGCACAAGCTCAAATCTGTAACATTAGCTGCTATCAGACATGCACTGGACTCCGCAGCTCCTCTGTATTTTCTCCAGAGGAGGTGCATGGACGCAAATGTCCGAGCGAGACACTCCACAGTTTCTATGGACTTTCTCTGCCTGGCCTCCCAGTATAAGTCTGTAGAAATCCAGGAGAAGTGGATGTGTGAACAGAGAAGGGGATCCCAGCTGGATTAACCGCAAGTGAGTGGGGGGGGTTTGATGATGCTTATAATGCGTGACAAACGCAATAACAAAAACAAAACAGAATTTGATGCTGTTGTGCAGAGAAACCTCCAGCTGTGTTGTGCATGTGTGAAAGGCAGACTGAGGCTTCTAATGACGGAAACATTTAAAAACTAAACTCCTCAGTGGACTTCAGTGATAAGCAAAGTTGGGTTTAAGGGGGAATATTCTATGATTTACTTTAAATCTTACAAAAATGACTGATGCACGAAATAACCTCAAGATCAACACTTTTATGACCAAATACAAAATGACATGGTGTCTTACTGTTTGTGGTTGTACTCACCAGGCATCCCCCTACCTCTCCCCTGAGGAGGCATCACAGCGGGTGGGGGGTAGAAGGAACCGCTGGGGGCGTAGAAAGGCATCCCGTGAGGATTTGGAGGTGGCGGCGGGGGGAAGACAGGAGGGTGAGGTGGACAAGTGAAGCTGAGACCTTCCAAGATACTCTGACGCATCCTCTCCACCTTGGAAACCAGCTCAGACTGAAGAAAGAAAAAAAAAAAGAAATAATCACAACCACTGCAAAACACTTCACCTCCCATTCAATGAACTTCTATTACATCATCACCTGTATCCCTATAAAAAACTTAATATTTAGAATAAGTACAAATGGGTGCAGTCTTTCATTCGAAGAGGACTTGTAGACGTTTGCATTTATTAGGTGTGTTCCTGAGTCCCGAGGATTGTCAGAGTCGTCCTAAAGTTGGCGCTTCTAACCGATGATTCTACTCCTGGGGGGCTGGTGCTGTATAAATTGGTCTGGTGCTTGTGGTTCATCACTTCATGGTATTTTTTTAAATATATAGTATACATTGTTTTTAGAAACGCTGATTATATTTATTTTCTTCATTACACTCACACCTCGGATATATAGTGTTCACTTCCACATCACACCACTTACAAATTCACATTCTAATGCCTCTGTTCATCATCTAGGATGAAAAATCATGGGATTTCCACACAGTCAGAGGAAGTACATGTTGGTGTCCTGGTCGTAGCTCAGCAGTGACATGCTCGTGTCTGTCTTTCTAGACGGCAGTAGAGCTGAGGTCGTCAGGAGCATCTGACTCGTGCTGCCATCACTTCTACTTTCATCACAGTTCAGTGGGTCATTATTAAAGCTACACTTGTTTTGAGAGCTGCTACAGCGTCGATGCATCATCAGCTTTTAGGCAGAGAACAAGTACATTCACTTAGTGCAGCTTTATGCACGTTTTTACCTCTTGTGAAAAAGAAAAGCCTGCACAGTTGTCTTTATTTCTGAATACCACTCGTGCTTACTTGCTTTGATGAGGCTTTTGGGTAATTCACTTTTCTAATATTGATTGAAATCATAAAAGAATTCTTCCTAGTTAAGTGAGTGCAGTTATCAGCCTCTTACATCTGCAGCTATGATGTCTCTGATCAATATCAGATTGTTATTTAACAGACTGCTACATTAGCTCTAGCTGCTGCGCTTCCACTGAAGGTAATGGGCAAGAAAACGTTCCAGCAGTTTTTTTTGATCAGCTTGTTACTGATCCACTATCACACAGAGCTGCAGCTTCTTTACTGAATGAACGTTAACAACATCTACAATGAGAGAGAAAGGAAAGTGTTGTGGCTTTCATTCATTACAACATATACTCATAATGGAGAGACCAGTGTAACTACAGTACATTTTGGGATGTCTGTAGCCTTATTGTGTTCATAGGCAAGCAAGTGCTTTCAAGTCCATCTACAGTGAGTCTTTCAAAGTTAATCAACCCCTTAAGTGTTCAGTTAGTCCACTTAAACCTGCAGGAATCTCTGAAAGCTGCTTTTACATGTTCTGCTGCCACAGAGGAAATTAATTAATGACGAGTGAAAACGAGTTCTTAGCATCTCCTGACATCTTTAGCGTGCAATGAACCAGGGAGAAAGTCTGTCAAAGAGATCAACGCTACAGTTAACTACAGAGGATGAGCTGAGAGACCGAAGCATGAAAAATGTTAGCTATCAGAGAAAATGTTTCAGAGAGGAGTCGGCTCACTATGTCAGTCAGCTGTTCCCAATGCACAGAGGCCACACTCCTCGACCAATATAACCTCTACAACCCCACAACCACCATAGCATCTTAGCTGTCCACAAACCCTGCTGAGTTTCAATATTATTCACCAAGTAATTTACCTTAAATGCATTTAAGGGAATACGTATTTTAACTATAGATACATTTGGAGCCTATAGCTACATAGTTTAATATTTTATTTAGAAAAATATTGAAAAAATTCCGTCAAATTAAGTTTTTCTGAACAGACTAACAGTCCAAAACCCAATGATATAACACAAACAAGCAGGAAATCTGAGAAACTACAATCAACGATTTCCTGCATTTCTTTACAAAACCGTTCAAATTTCCAAATCTGTTTCAATTCATGTTTTGCCAATTTACCGATAAGAAGATTATCAAATCCTGTCCGCGCTAATGAAAGTCACTGACAATTACATGCTGGAGGATTTGAAAGAATAAAGTAAAATAAACAATCAATCAAATCAGACTAAACAGGCTCTTAACACTTAGTGTTAAACTTAAACTGATCTAAACTGATCTTTGTTAAAACTGAGATGTTACAACTTCGCTGTTCTTCATCAAACTCCTGGGGTCAGGTGGCCTAACAGCAACAGAAACTGTGAGTGTCTGACAATTTTTCTGACTTTGCAAATCAGACAATCTGAGAGTTGATCCTGCTTTATGCAGCAACTGAGCAGATGTGCAGAAGTTTGAATCACTCTCTCCAGTTCTCAGCCCCCCTGATATTCCCCAAATGCAAATCACTTCTGTGCAACCTGTACACCCCTGAGGAGCGGCAGTCTGACTGTGTGCACTATCGTCTCCATTTATAGGATTCATCTAAATGACACACAGGAGGTCACAAGATGCAGCCAGGCAGACGTTATGATTTGGGGGTTTTTTGTCTTTCAATTTGAGAGCAGGAACTTATTGATTTCACATTCTTTTATTGTTGTGCTTTCACTCAAAACCACAGAATCTTGCATATACCCTGCTTGAGCTCAAAGGTGTGCTCTCAGATTTTTTCTTCTGCTCTTGGAGTTTTTTGTGCAACAATCAGTTAAAATTCCCCAACTGATAGAATTAAATTGTCCTGCCCTATGTTAGGGTGTAGGTACAGGTGGTTACTTTCATTTATTATACAGACATCTCTTGCTACACTAGGAAAAATGCCTTCATGGAGCAGGAGTCCACAAGATCCCATTTTCATTTGGGGACATATTTAAGTTTGGGGAATTTTGACAGACTTGTTAAACAAACCAAGCACAGAAGAAAAATTCAGAGAGCAGACGCGCATAGAAGCAGCATGAGGAGGGGACGAGCTGAAGACGCAGAGCAGGAAACGTGTCCAAGAAACAAAATATCTGAGTGCAAGCTACGGCTGGGCAATTAACCAAATATGTATCAAAACTGACTTTTATAACCTCTGACCAACTTAATGTTAATCTAGACATGTCAGTTAATTTGACTTAAGTACTTTCCCCAATGAGTGCATTCACAAACTGTTGGGTTTCTACTACGTTTCTATATCCTCCCTCCCCCGCTGACCTGCACTCACGTTGCACTGTAACAATAAATACCAACACTAATCAGAAGTTATCAGTTATTAGTGTGTGAGTGATTAGAAAAGAGCAGAGGAAAATTCTAGTCGTCCATTAATCGCAACCAAGTCAAAGTCTGAAATAATCGTGATATTGATTTGATGTCATATCGCCTAGCCTTAAGTGTAGAGCATGGAGTGAAGGCATTACAGAACATGAAATCAATAAATCCTGCTCTCAAACTGAAAGACCATGCTCTTGAATAAAGTGCAGGGGAAAGAACATACTATGATGGAAGGCCTACTAACCCATGGTCAATTTACAAACACCTTTAGATGTTGTTCAACTAAAGAGAATCACACCGAGGCCTGAAGTGGAAGCATGTTTTGCTGTCTTGTGGGTCAAGAGAGTGTCTCAGTGTGATCAAGCTACCTGACCATCACAGAGGTCAATGAGCTGGGCCTTCTCCCTGTTGGCCCTGATGAGTTTACTCTGCAGCAGTTTGCCGTCAAAGTACATCCACGGACAGCAGTGCTCCCAGGGAATAGGCTGTCCGCACGCGTCGTTGGCAAACAGAGCCATTTCCACCCCGCTCAAGAACAGAGCGGCCAGCTGGACTCCTCGAGGGTCCAGGTGGTCGATCTGTGGGGAAAAATACAACACATTTTTTAAACTTTTGCTCAAATGACAAGAAAAGGGAGCATGTCCCACTAATAGCCCCCCCCCACACCCAGAGCATTCAAATTAATCAAGAGCGAAGCAAAGCACAGAGCAAGCGTAAGCAGCCCATTCACTCCCAGCTGCCAAAAACACATCATTGGACGACCAGATCCAGCCAACACAGAAAGCCAGCAGACACAACCTCCATGTTCCGACAGAGCTACACACAGACAGAACACAAGCACACAGCGGGTGTGGATGGTTTACACCAACAAAGGCCGAATGGAAATAGAGCTCCAGCTTATTTACAACTCCGTGTGACGCATGGAGTTGATAAACCATCCACACTTGACATGAGCACGCCTCAAAAGCTCTACAAATACATCTCTCAGAGCAAAGCTACGGAACAACATGCTTGTAACCAAACAGGGTTTCACACAAGCATGTTGCTTTGTCTGCAGAATATGAGGAGTACGAGAGAAACACATACAACATGAAGTCCGACAGGAGACATCAACCAATTCACTCATCAGTCCGCGGCTCTCTGAGCAGGTAGGTGCATGCAACGCTCATGAGCGATTGACAACCGGCCATTCGTGATGTGTGCGTGTTTCTCAGACACTCCTCATATCATGAACACTACAAAATCACCTTCAGTTCCTGCAGCTGGTCAGGCTCATAAAGTTTAGGAGAAAGTGCTTGGGCTAGGAAAGCGTCAAGTTCGTTACGACGCAAAATTCTTACTCCTGGCCAATGTAACATAAACCTGAAGCAAAACACAGAAGGTTAACAGTGTTACAAATAACAGGAACTGGTCAGCATCCTCACTCTCTTTCACACTGGTCTCCCTCCTCACATTGACAGTGAAATCCACATAACTGTATCGGTGTGTATAACCACACCGGGTTCTGGATATTAGCAGCCCTCTCACCGTAACACACAACAGAGCACCAGGAGGGGTGTGGGGATGTTGGCAGGGTTTAGCATAGCTGGAGTGTCAGAGCGGAAGCAGGCCAGGAACGCTCTCATCCTGCGGTTCTTGTCCTCCACGGCCTTCCCCAACCACAGCTTCTTCAGGTTGGGACAGGTCCACTCCCTGAAGGGCAGTGCCTCCACCAGCTCTGGAGTGTGGGGAGACTTGCCCTTGTAGGCAGCCCACTCTTTGACCATGACATGTGTATCTGAGGGAGGACGCAAAGGTATCAGGAGATATCAGTGTTCGTATCCATCCGTTACAATAGACCAAGGAATAAAAGATGAGAGCTCATCAGTGACTCTGCTGTCAGGACAAAGAGAGCTAGGCCGGTGAATCGGCGTAACGGCGTTAGCTGACTGCAGTTAAATCTATGTACTCAGTACACGGAGACTTCAGAAAGTATTCAGACCAGATTGTGTTGTAGGATTTTAAAAGGATAAATTTGTCATTTTTGCCGATTAATCTATACTTAATAACTCATTCTGAAAAAAATAAATCACATTTTTAGAGATTTTTTTATAAATGTATTAAAATCTGCTTTTCTCTGGCTCCTCTCTCTAGCAATCTATTTTTTCTTTTAAATTACCCTTGAGAATGATCTGACTTGAGTCAAAGTGAATTGAATGGACATAGTTTAGGACATAGTTTCTGTTTATATAAGGTCTCACAATTCAAACTACACATAAAACCATTTTTTTAACTTTTGAGCATTTGAGCAAAATGGCCTCAATGTTTATTAATCTGAAGGAAGTTTGGAACCAGGCTCTTCCAAGACTTGGTCGTCCAGCCAAACTGAGTCAGTGAGGAAGAAGGGCTGTGGTCAGGTGCACAAAGCTTGTAGAGACTAACGCAAGAAGAAGTACTGCAGTTAAGGACAGTTTACTTTTATAATTGTATCTACAACCTAACAGATTAAATACTTCACAGAATGAGGTGATCAAGAAGTTAAGAGGTGGGACTCACATTCAGGGAGGCAGTTACTCCTCATGGCGAGTCTCTCTGCCTTCTTCCTGGTCTCTGCCAGGCTGAAGAGCACCCCGTAAACATATTGACGAACAGGACGAAACAGCTGCACTGCCGTAGGCAGGTCTTTGTTAGCTTCATCTTCAATGGTGACAGAAAGCTTAATCTCTCCCTGCAAAGACACACAGTTACCTTGATGCTGCACAATGACGCAAACGACTACAGACACTTCAGATTCCAGTGTGCATATGCATTGCATTGTGAATTTCTGTCCATTCAGTCTTGATGACCCAGACCCCCTAACCTTGGTGAGAACATGGTAGATGTAAGGGAACATCAGGCCCTTCTTGTGTCTGTGCTCGGCCACCCTCAGAACCTCGGGGGCCACATCAGGGAGAGGTGGGATGGTTATATCCATGTGGTTCCTAGTGGGCATGGAGAGCAGAGAGGGGATCTGGGCATTCAGGCTGTGGAGACCTGCAGCCTGCAACCCGGGGCTCACAGCAGAGGTCACACAGAGGTCAGTCTGAGGACAGAGGAGACAAGCTTAAGTATAGTAAACTGGTGAGATAGTTACCTGGTGTTATCAGTGGGTCAGATGTGTTGAGTTTCTGATGTTCAACTCACCTTTGTTTGGTCTCCCTGTTGTCCGTCTTGTGTGTTCTCAGAGTGAGGAGGATGTCCATTCTTCTCCCAACCTCCCTTATGGTCACTTACATGACTAAATGTAAAACAACATACACATGAATCATGTAGCAGTTAAAAGATGAACAGTTGAACATGTGACAGGTGGTTGATCATGAAAATGCTGGTATGTAGAGGACAATAAAAAACAATCATTGTCAATCATTGTCATTTGATTGCAGAATCATACAACGTAGCCATTAGACCTTCTTTAAAAGCAGCCATTTTCTTTTTCATTTGATCCTGCATGTACCGACTGAGGTAGCTGTATGAGCTGTTTGACCAATTAGTCCCAGATCTTCAAACAAGAAGCAGAGAGGAAGTGAGCGGGCAAAAAAAGGAGAGACTCACCACCCCACACACTAAAGTAGTACATGTAGGACAGCAGCAGTTTATTTATTATATATATATAAATCCCCCACTGGGGGACAGTCTTGTGTTTCCCTCTTCCAGATCGGGTCCTCTAACAAAGGGCATGAGAGCTTGAGGGTGTGGGGCAGTATCTAAGCTGTTACTAGGACTCCTCTTTCTGGACAAAGATTTCAGATGTTCTCAATCGAATTTGCTCTCTTTTCTCTTGTAAACCAGTCAGTGATCTGAATATCTTTAATTTATCATCTAGGGCAGCAGGGCTCCATCTGACTGGCCAAATATTTTGACATGCAGACCGTCAATGCATGTCACATGGAACACAATTTATTGCAGTTCAAGCAGTCTTTTGCAATATGTGCATCGCCCATGTTTATAGCGAGATGACGATAAATGTTCAATATATCGCTCAGCCCTAGTGTGTGTGTGTGTGTGTGTGTGTGTGTGTGTGTGTGTGTGTGTGTGTGTAGATATAGAAAGAGAGAGCCTTTGAGGACAGTGAATGCAAATATATATAGCAGACGGATGAAATAATGAATTAATGACAGATGAATGCTGTCATGAAGCAGATCATGTGAACTGAAAGTGGCTTTGGTAAAAGATATTGCTGACTACACTGCTTCTGTACTTCTCCAAAAACATTTGCTGTATGGACAGGGCTCCCAAACAGGAAGTGAAAAGACAATATACCAGATAGATATACATTTTCTCAGAAACAGAAAACTACATGTGGTCATGGAGCTGACCAGCTGTGCCCAGCACACTGATAGCTGTGGGCTGATGACTTCCCTGGATATCAAGACAGCAGAGAGCTGCCACATGAGACAGAAACATGAAGGAGACTGACACATAGAAAAGAGACTGGAGAGGACACAGAGACAGAGCTGAGCCATGCTACCTGAAAGGTTCTGTGATGGACAATGTATGTTGATTAATGAATTGAGTTAGTGTTTTTCAAATTTATGTTAAATTAAAGGACGTGACAAAGTCAATGGCTGACGTCTGGCTGTTAGGAGATCCAGTGGGAGAGTCCCATGCCACACTACCTTCTCCTGGAAAGAGGACAGTCACCAAGAGAGAGAGAGCTGGTTTGTGCTGAACTCACTTGGCAGTTGAGCCTGAGCTCTCATCGTTCTCCGAGGAGGAGGAAGTGGAGGAGGCATTAAAGAAAGCAGCCTCTGTGTGGTTGGGGCTACCGGCCTGGCCCCGGGTGATGGGAGAAGACCTCTCATACAGTGGTGTGTGCTTCCCTTCAGGAGGAATGTGGCTGAAGCTGTTCTGTTCTGGGAGGCCTTTGTTCAACGTGTCCAGAGCCAGGCTGCGCTCCACCAGAGGCTCCGGGTACGAGTGCTGGACCTGAAGACGACAGAGAGGGAAACATGAACATGCGGTGTCCGGTGAAGACGAGCCACCTGCAGTGCTTTCACTGGTGCGACAGTGTCCTCGACAGCCTTACCCCAGGTTTTACAGGCAGCGGCGCCTGTGGAATGTTGAGCATTTTTGGAGATGGCACTGCAGCAGGCACTCCCATGAGTTTTGGTCTGACTGTAAAAGACACACAAAGCTTCAGTATATAGACTTGAGGGAGGCTGGAGCTGCAGTACAGATAACACACAGCTCACATCAGTATTTGTTTGTGGGAACATGGAAGTATGAAGATGTAATTATAATAATTAGTCAAATGTATAATAACAATGCATATCAACTGACAGCGTGAAAATAATGTGACAATGTGAAGGGCATCCCTGATACAGATAATTATCACCTGGATCTGCAGCTCCTCTCAGCTTGACTAGAGGCTTTTTCAGAAATAAAAATGTCAGCACAAGACGAGTTCACAGCAACGGAAAAAGGTTTCCAAGTTGCTTAGTCTTTTTTACGTGTAAGGCTCCTCTTTTTCATCCTGATATTTTTTTTTTTTTTATCAGATTTGAACCAGTCGCATGTTAGACACGTCATCACATGAATCCTCTGAAGGATCTCCTGCTATGTTCTCCATTTTCCCAGGGGGCTGTCTGGAATAACTCAGAAGATACAGTCCTGGATAATTTCAAGAGATAATCTGGAGTTCAGTGCATGTTTGCATTAGTTTCAGCTCAGTTGAGCTGCCTCATCCCTTAATATAGTGTTCTAGTTCACTGTCACTGCTCTGTGTTGTTTCAAAGAAAAATCTACAAATCCACTGCGCACTTCCTGTCAGCAGCAGACACACAGTTCGAGAACAGCTGCTGAACAAACTATGTTCTAGTGACACAGATCCTGTTCAGACATGGTGTTAACATCTGTCTCTAGTTCATCAGATCTCACCTGATGAAGAGGAAATGATGTCAATATGAATTGTGTGTGTGTGTGAGAAAAAGAGAGAGAACAGGGCCAGGAGGGGCTGTGTGAATTAGACCTACAGTAAAATGAAATTTGAACTATTTGAATTAGAAACAAATATTGAATTTTTTTTCTGTGGGAAGTGGTGGACTTGAAATCTGTATTTAACACAGTAAAAGTAACACACAATCGTTAAGATATTTTTTTGATAAAAGATAATTTCTGATTTAAACAAAATAATTGTAATGATAGAATATGGTCATGCAAAATATCAACTGAATTATTAATGACATGAATAATGTCTTTATAATGATAACTATGATAACAACTAATGATAACCAATATGCTGCTAATAACCAGCTAGTTAATGGTGAATAAATTCAGCTCCATGTACTACAAGTGTAACTTTTCTCTAAATCCACTTTTTGTTTTTTTGGGAGCAAAAAAGTCACTTGATATTTGTAGTGAGAGGACAATAAAATAAGTGTGATGTGTAATATTAACTTTGGGAGGCAGTAGCACAGTCCATAGCGACTTGGCTTGGGAACCGGAGGGTGGCCGGTTCAATTCCAACATGGAGGGAAGTTTGAGAGGTGCTAGTTCACCACCTGGGCACTGCCGAGGTGCCCTTGAGCAAGGCACCGAACCCCCCAATTGCTCCCCGGGTGCCTTCATGGCTGCCCACTGTTCCGTGTGTGGTCACTGTGTGTGTTGTGTTCCGTGTGTGCTCCATTCACACGGATGGGTTAAATACAGAGGTCAAATTTCCCCATGTTTGCATGTTGCATGCTGTGTGTGGGACCAAAAATAGGAATTTTAATCTTAATCTTAATACAACTCTACCAGCCTTAAATCACAGGTTCATCATCCCTTGTTCATTGTGGACATTCTGGTCATAGTCTCTTACTTGGTCTCAGAATTGTTATATCTTTATTAATTAACTGTGTTTAATAAAATGGCTTATTTTTAATAAAACATGTTATGTGTGTAGCCCCTTCAACAATTTCAAAGAAAACACTGTAAGAAAGCAGAATAATACTGGAGCACCTGATATGCAAAGATAAAGAGATTATTTATAAACCCACCAAACTGTGGAGGGAAGTGAGGTGCTTTGCTGGCCATTGAGTAGTACTCCACTGCCTTCTTGAAGCGGATGACTTTGTCATCAGTGCATGACTGGAAACAAAAAAGACATCAGGGAATCACACACTGTACACATGCAGGGAGCAGGACCATTATTCATTTACAGAGGAAAGAAAAGCTTTTTGGTTTAACTGGTTAATGTAATTTGGTAAATGATAGAATGTGAAACAGTCCGAATTCCTGTTCACGGATATTAATGGTGGGTAGATTCATATCTTTTAAAAAATGTAGCAAGTTTCTATTTGGTCCCAAACTGAATCATTATGAAAATGATTTAGCCTCCAGCTTTGTTATGGGTCATTGCTCACACTTTAGCTTTGAAGTGCACAGTTCTTTGTGCTGCCCAGGTCAACATGTTTGCTTTTCCGAACAATGTGCATTTAAAAAGCTTGGCAGCAGATGGGAATTATTTGCCTTAATTCAACTTCAGTAAAATATTGTCTTAACATTCAAATATACTTTCTAGAAGTTCATTGTCCTTATTTTAAAAAGTTTAAAACCACATTTAAGTGTGGTTCCTTTAAATTACATTAATTTTTTTTAAGTCGTAACAGTTGAAGGAAATAATGATCTGAAATGTTACTGTATTAATTATCAAAAGACTGATATGACATTTGTTTATTGAGATAACATTTTGGCTATATCTATATTTTGTATTTCGACAAAGGAAAACTGCTTTCGAAAAAACGCTGTTCACTGCATTCGATTCTAAGTATGATCAAAACTTTCTGCATCACACCCGTCACCTCCGCTGCAGAAAACAGTTTCCAAAAGAGCCAATGCCATCCTGACACATCACATACTTCTCCTACCTGTGAAAGTTTGAAGATGTCTTTAGCGATGGCCTCCAGGTCGGTGATGTCCGGGATACTGCGGACGTAGTCGGCCACGGCCTTGATTACAACATCACAGGGTGGGAGCACAAGCTGGTGGGCACGCACCTGAGGATCGACCACACATGGCGTTCCCAACAGGTCAGCCAATCATGTTTGAGTTTACAGTTGTAAGAACATTTGCTTTGTATCCAGCTCTTTACATCCGAGAGTAAATCTGCTGATTCTGAGATTACAAATATTAGGTCTGTACATATAACCTGCATTTTACATCAGTGTGTACAGGAAGGTCCTGTTGCTGTTTAAAATGCTGGACGTTAACAGGAGTTTGTCCCCAACACACACATGGTTCATCATATACACACACACACACACAGACAGTGACGCTGATTAACATAATAATCACATTAAATCCACTTGAATGATTTTCCTTGAATATGTTCCGCCTTTTAGTTCGCACCGTGCGTCTGTAACTCATTAGACAGTTTAATCTACCTGCCACCTCGGTCACACATTCCCCAGCCTCTCAACACGCTGGTAGAGCTTTTGTAAGATGGGTCTAAATACTGTGACACCCATGACCTGCTCTCAGCCACTGCAGCCAGGGCAAAGAAGCCAGTGAGAAATAAAGCAGACTGGTGGTGTATTGCATTTCCTGCAACTTCAGCCTTAAATCATAATTTAAAAAACTTCATGTCCAAGATCCTTCTATATATAATGACGAGTTTATTTATTGCACAAGTGGGTAACAAATAAAGGCTGTATTTACACAGTCTATACTGCAATTCTACGTTTTTGAATTTTGATCTCTGCTTTGTCGTGTTTTCTGCGAAGGAGCCCTTGTTGACGGTCACTGGGGCCGAGGCATTATTGTTGCGCTCCGATCTGCTCTGTTCCTCGGTTGTCAACATTGATCTGCATGAAGTCCGCTTGCCTCGGACTTAGCGAAGCCCGGCGTCGGCGTCGCCCCCCTCGCTGATCGCGTCGTCCTGCAGCTTCTGACGTTTTTCAGGTTGTTCACTGACAGTGCTTGCCGCCGAAGAAGCCACAAGAAACGTTGCAGTACTCCTCTGATTAGCAGGCTTTGTGTACCGCTTGCGCTTGGTCAAGGTTCGGATGTGAACAGACAGCTAAAGTGGTTTTGAATAATTTCCGCACGCCGTCCGATTTCTGCATGAGGTCCGATATTTCACCAATAACAGTGCTCTTTGTTGCAGCGTCAGAGGAAAATCAAACAACTCTGACCTTGACCTCTGACCGCCAATCACCAAAATCTATCCAAGTGAATATTTGTGCCAAATTAGAAGACATTCCCTCAAGCTGATCTTAAGACTTGACTTGGGACCACCAAAGTCTAATCAGTTCATCCTTGAGTCTTAGTGAATATTTGTACCAAATTTTAAGAGATTTCCTCAAAGCATTCTTGAAACATTCCGTTCATGGGAATGGGACGAACAGACAGACAACCCAAAAACGACCAAACAGACACAATTAGACACCAGTCAAGACATTTGGGTAGTGTGTGTGTGTAAATTGTTGTATTTACATAGCACTTTTCTAGTCTTCTTTGTTGTTGTTCTATTGGGCAATTTGGGGTTTAGCATCTTGCCCCATGCAGATGGGAAGAGTGGGGATCGAACTTCCGACCTTCTGGTTGGAGGACTGCCGCTCATCCACAGCCACCCGTGTGTGTGTGTCACTGAGCAGTAGAGTGTGTTTGTCTGCAACATGTGAACCAGATGGCTTTCTGTTTAATCACAGCTCATCGCAAACTAGCAGCTGAACCATTCACACACTGTGCCCTCAAACTGTCTGGCACTGTTAACAACTGTCGACCATTCACCAATCCACAAATCCAATAAGGCTGTATCACCCATTCATATTCAGCCAAACTAATAGATGCAGCTTGGTGGCAGCTGGTGGTGGAGCTCACAGTCTTCTACTCATTTACATATTTGGTTAATTCAGTGGTGGGAATATTCAACCTCATATTCCAGAAAGATCTACCAACAGCTTCTCATCACTTTGTAAAACTAGTCATCTATTATCAAGCAGCAGTGTTCACAACCACAATCATCATCCAGTTGTGGAATCATACAACAGCCACTCAACCTCTGGTCATCAAGGCAAAGCTAAGCAGGAGTGATGCTACGAGTAAATTATGGATGACAGCAATTACATTTTCCTGCCAAAATAAGGCTTCTTTATTGATGGAATTATGAGCAGGCTGTTTGGTTAAATTCAGATTTTTACCATGTCTTGCAGTTGCAGGCCTTTAAAGGCCATTTAAGCTTGGTGCTATAAAGTAAGGCTGGGCAATTAACAAAAAAAAGTATCCAAATTGACATTTATAACCTCTAACCGACCTAATTTTTCTCATGCCAGTTAATTTGATTAATACTCCCCAATGCGTAGCTTCACAAACTGCCGGGTTTCCGCTACATTTCGTGCCGTATCACCCTGCTGAAGGTCCTCCCTCCTCCGCTGACCAGCACTCACATTGCACTTTAACAATAAACACCAACATTAATCAGAAGATATTAGGATACGTACGCTACAAGACTTGAGGTTAACTTTGTGTTTCTGTGATTCGCTCAAAAGTTTAGGAGACACGTAATTAAACATTCCAACATTTTGCGCACATGCAGTTCAAACACAACACGAGACGTAACGTGCGGTGCACAGCCAGGACATCAGGGTTACAGTGGTGATATGACATCATCAATTAATAACTGAATAATGTGATCTTCAGACACACACACACACAATCACACAGAGTAATAATGAAAGAATCCTTCATTAATTGTAATGGAGGTAATGGTTTGAAATAATTGAGACATTGATTTGAAGTCATGTCACCCAGCTCTACTTTGAAGTGTGTGGTCCAACAGGAACACACATTTTGTGTGTTTATGTTTCTCTCTTTGCCCTGTGTCAAGCAGGCAGGGCTCAGTTGGAAATGGCCACATACATCCATAGCTGCTATAAGACATTCAGTTAACTCCAGAAAATCATTCTCCTGGAAGGGAGCTGTATGCATGAACACAAATGTCCGAGTGAGAGCCTGCTGACTTTCTCCAGAGTTTCCCCTGCCAGCCCCCCAGTAAAAACTCTGGATAATGTCCTTAAGAGTTGATGTGAGAACACAGGAGAAGAGACAACGTGCAAAAATGTAAAATTAAAAAGAGAATACAAACATCTCAGTATGAACCACTGGATTTCTGGGTTGTTATAAACGTGCCTGCTGTGTTGTTCATTTGTGAAAAGCAACCTCCGGAGAAAGTCTAAACTGACTTGTGTGGATCATTTCTGGAGTGGATTTCCTGAAAATGGCTCATGTTTTGTGTCAGAGTTCAGTGATGAATCAAACTGTGAAGTGTGTGTGTGTGTGTGTGGGAGTCTAAAGCCTGATATATCTCACTGCTCTGCTGTCAAAAATTATTAAAATCACATCACTTCATTACCATGACCACACTTGAACACCACTATTGGTATTTTGACTCAAAACACACAGTTGCACTGTCCTTACGACACAAAACAGAACACAAAAACACCAAATGCATATTAAAAGGCTAAAATACATCCCCTCTCCAAAACTAGGGAAGTTCTGAAACACATTTGTTGAAAACTACAGGGACCTCTGTTTCAGTTTGTCGTGTGTTTTACAGAAAATGTCCATCTTCAGCAGAAACCAGCAGGTCAGGGGACGACAGTCACAGACAGGATAGGGAGGGTTATCCTTACTATTCTGATGTGCTGATGCAAATGTGCTGTCGTAGTAGTGCAACATTATCCCTTCACTGCACATCCCAAAAGTGGGAGAACTCCCAATAAACTTTTAAATACACACAACAACACTGAAGCAGCAGAGACCTATATATCTTTACTTTTAGTCTGGGACGACATCCAAAATCCCAAAATCCTATATCTCCCATCATGCAACTCAATGGCATGTCAACATGCGAGCGAGAGCGGCGGGTTTTCGGAGAAATGACTTCATACATCGGCCTGGACTAATTAGTTCCACTGGAGGAACAATTCACTGACCTGTCACAACAGGTCAATGTGCTGAACCACAGTTCAAGTCCTTCAGTCATTCAATAACAAGCTTTACCTCCCCCCACTGTTACTATTATTATTATTATTCCACTGGACACACTGTGAGACATAAGAGAGAGAACAGTTTACCTTCAAAGATGCTAATGGATGCTCTGGACCAAGTAAGCTCCAGTGAAAGGCAGCCAAGTCTTCATCAGGCAGTATGTGGTTTCCTGTAAAACACCATCAAGCACACCTTTTAGTCGGCCTCTTCTGAACGGCCATCAGCCCAACATGTGAGCAGCAGAGTCGTGCTGACCTAAGAGTGATGCGAAAATGACAAAATGACTCGGGTTGAGCTCGAGCTGCCGCGCCACTTCGTGCATCAGGTACTGGCTGGTCGTGAGGCTTTTTCCGTTGCGGCTCAGCTTGAGGGCGTGGGCGCTGAAGTAGTGCGGGACGTTGCACAGGGCGTAGTCGGAGTCGTGGGCCACCAGGCCGTGGAAGCCGTTCTCCTTGCATAAGGTTATCACTTCCAGGTGGTGGTCCTCGATGCTCTGGACAACCTGAGGAGAGGCCGAGACGAGAATTAGGTTTAAGATGGGACAGACTCAAAATAAACCTTGCACACAGACAAGCACTCGACTGCAGGTTTGAAGGAGCAGCTCCAAGTGTGTCCAACTCCACACAGTCGAGAGTCACACAAACAAATAACAGGCATCATCTTATGAACGCTGACAGCAGGAAGTAGAAGTCACCACTCACAACATCATCATAACGAGAGCCTGAATGATTTGTCGATTGGCCGATAGTGTGATTTACATGAAACTGATTGTTTTTTTATGCAACTTCTATATGTCTGGTTGTATTGTTCTTTCTTTATATTGGTTACTTATAAAAAAGTTTATGGTTAAACTGAAACATATCAAACCTCAATTAGAAAAAAGTTTGTCATAAGGGTTTGATCATGACAGCTTAGAAAGCATTGCAAAAATATATACATCAGTCAATATTTTTAACTCTATCTATATCAGTAGTGGCATCAGCCCCCCCCC